GAAAAAAAGTTGGAATATTAAATTGAGCTGTGCCACGGTAGAAGAATGTTATATTAACCATAATGCTACTTTTTTGCGTTTGCGGAATTTAAAACATTTTTGCGATTTCGCTTTACAATAGTTAATAAAAAATGGTATAGGACTTTAAGGGGCTATAACTTTTAAAATAGGAAGATAGGTAAAATTTATCATCAATAGAAATAAGTTTCAACTAAATACCAATTTTAATAAAATTTCAACTTTCTATGTATCTCTCAAAGTTTGCAGTAATTTTGTAAACAGAGGACAAAGGCAGATGGACGATGTGAAGCTAATAATAATTTTTTTTAAATTTTTTTTTTTTGAAAAATTTTAAAATTCAGTATTGCCATGTAAAAGAAAAACCATAAATGTAGTTCATTTCTTTTATGTTTTTTTTTTGGCTACTAATTTTAAGATCACCTTTTTTCGCACGATTTATTTCACACCGCACAGTGGAAGTTTTTAATTAATACCAAAAACTTGGAAAATATGAGTAAATACGACCGAGTGCTACAAATATTGCACGTTTTTGTGTTTTTTTTTCTTCCTTGTTTCAGTTGTTTTTATTTTTTTTTTAATTTTAAAATGTAACAGAAAAAAGATTAAGTTGCTTATTATGTACTTTAAAAAAATGAAAGGGTTTTTTAAGTGAATGTTATCCCTGGAAAATGTTATAGGAAAATTCATGACAATTTAAAACACTTAAAATTGTATTGTGAATGAAAAAGTGTAAGCATTGGATAAAAAATATGGAGAAAAAATTTATTTGCTACACATTTCTTGCTTTAGTTTATTTTGTTGTTATTTTCCTTTTAATTTTTAAATCTCACGCTGGAAAGATGTCATGTTCTTATTATGGTTTGACATGCGGATTTTTGCACTCTTTTTTAAAATTTTTAGTTTTATTTTTTATTTGAAAGACACACAAGGGGACCTGTAGTTTTTCAATTATTTCATTAGATATTTTATGTTAAATGACTTGTAATATTTTTATCTTATGACGTTTATAATGTACTTACGTGTATGAAGTAGAAATCATTGTCAATTTAAAAAACCAGAAAAGTTGTTTCATTTCTTGTATATTCTATTTTATAAATTACCCAAAAATTTCCCAAAAATTCGCACTCTTAAAATAATGTTTTGTTTATATTAAGTTTTACTAACTCTTGCGACATGAAGAACTTACAATTGAAAGATCAAGCGTTTACTCAATTTTGAATAAATAAAATTTGACATTAAATTGATTATAATTTGTTGTCTTTAGAGCTTTTACAGCGTTTTTAGCAATACAAATGTACAAAAGCCTAATTGAGTCTAATAAAAAAGCCTAATCTCTTTAAGGTATCTATCTTAAAGTTGTCAAAATTAATTTAGTGATTTTTATGGTTGTTTACACCAAAAATATTTTGTGATTTCTATTCTTGTAAATAAAAATGTTTGTACCTAGTTGCTGCTGTTTATTTTTACCGAGTATATAAATATTTTATATACACTTATGATATTTTATATGGTTGGTTCATTGCTTCAGTGTTGATTAATGTATCTTTTTAACACTTCCACTTTTTGTATATGTAGTCTCGATTGTGAAAGGATAAAAAAAAAAATTAATATAAAGTATCATTTTTTTATAATGTGTAAAAAAATAACAAGAAAAAACAAAGGGAAATAAAATTGCGAGATAATGAATTTTTCCATTTTTTTTTTTGCTATTTATTTTTTGCCCTTGTTGTATTTTATCCATATAGATAAATGTAGTTGTCAATGATATTTAATTTTTAATTTGGATTTGTTTTAAAAAAGTTTGACATAATACATCTGGGAATGATTTATGTAATCAATTAATTTTAATGATTATATAAGTATATAATAAATAATTTTTATATAGAGAATTGGAATGGTAAATGATTTGTAACGGTATTTTTAGAATTTTGTTAGATTCTTGCTTTTCTTAAGCTTAAATAGCTCTAAGAGATGGATTTATTTTTATTAAATGTGATTAGTGTTTTATTAGGTAGGAGTAGAACTTTGAGAATTGTCATGTACTTGTATAGAAGGAGATATTATAATTTCTTGTAACACCTAAAAATATTTACCATAGATTAGGCATAATAGATTACCAAGCATAAAATTTGAAAATTCAATGAAATGGGCTTTTTTTATATGTAGTATAATGTATTAATTTCTTTAAACAAAAAGTACCTGCCTATATAAGCTAATTGAAACGTCTATTTTTAATTAATTCGATTTCCTAATGTTTTTCCCCATACTCTGCAGGAAAAAAAATAAAAAAATTTAAAAAAAGTGACAAGTTAAACCATCAAATTTACTGACAACCATTCTTAATAAGCAAAATTGACGTTAGTTTTTTTTGTTATTAGGTATTTTCCATTTTTTTTCAATGCTTCTTTCAAATACAAACGTACATACATATTATGATAGCGTAAAATCAAAATCCAATAGGTTACATTGTGGAATTGATTTCATTTTAGTCAAAAAAATTTTATAACGAATTAAGTTCTGGTTTAATCGTTTCTAAATTGCTTCGATTTGCGCTTCTTATACAACTTTTTTCGGGTCTCTTTTTTTTCTTAAATTATTTTTTTTTGTATGTCAGTATATCTGACTTGCTGTTATATAATTCAATAATGGTTAATATAAAATTCAAAGCTTACTTTCAATCAAGTTTAGTTCAATGTTTGAATGAAATCAATTTTTTTGATATAGATTAACAACTTTAAAGATTTTTTACTTAATATTATTAGTTTTCGTATAACAGAAAGTTATTATGCTGAATACAAAACTTAGCATTGCTCAGCTTGAATTATTTGTTTTGTTAGGGGTTGTTAATTTTAATTGTAATTAATTTCAATATAATCAAGACAAAATAATATACTCTATGGATTTTTAAAGTAGCTGTAGCTGAAACAAAATAAGAAATTAAGCCATAGTTCACTTATTATGAAGTTGGCCGAATTTCTGACTTATTAAGTTACATTGTTGTCATTTTGTGTTTTCATTAGATAAAAGACCGCCACTTACATTATAATATGTATACCTTTGTAGGTATGAGACATGTTTTCCCGCAAGATAGAGCTCCAAATCAGAGCAACCCATAAAACCCTTCTGACAGCTAGCTTAAGTGATGTTAAATCACGTCAGATGTCAGCTGATTTTTGTATTATATGCTCATATATTTAAAATAACGATATTTTATTGTCCATTTTGTGTCATTGTATGGCGTGGAATAATGCTGATATACGGTAATAAATTTTATTTTAATTTTAATAAAAAAAATTAATATTACTTTGATTTTTTAGAATTGTATTTTATTCTTTACAATATTGGATTCATCTTGTACAATATGAGACCAGTGTTTCAACAAGAGATCTATCGATTGAATTTGCCAGAACTACTACAGGAGATTGATTTAGTTAGATTTATTTCTAGCTGTATGTTAGAATGATTGAGTTAAGGTATTGAAAACCTCCATAATTTGAAACTTTGAAAGTGTAAAGTGTGTTCACTTCAATTCCTGTATTTAAAAAAAATACCTGCATATGTATCTACATATGTACATTATATATAAACTTGTACGTAAACATGTAAGTATGAATGTGTGCATATTTAAATTACAATTGGAGAGGAAAATGGACAAAGGGGTTAACTAGCATTTTGAGGAAAATCGAGCTTTTCGGATAGAACACCATTACATTTCATAAATGTATGTATTTTCAACTGTGATTTACCCTTTGTCCACTTACCACTTCAAATATTAAACACTTAAAGTTTTATGTTTAAATGTCTTTTTAGTATAATATACAACTTGATTTGAATTATTTAAATTTTACCCGAAAAAAAATTATAATTTTTATTAGTCATGCGACTGCTGTCAATTTGTTATGTATGAAAAAATTAATTCAAGTGTATGTTGCTCTGATCTCATTGGTTAATATTAATGTTGACTATATTTTTTTACCTGTTAATAACTACTTTTCTGTTATGGGAAATTTTTAATCAAATATTTTAATATTTTAATTGTTAACTTTAATACAAAGCAGGGTCTCGACAAGTTTTCCATGTTTTTTTCCTTAGTCTACTTGAAAGCACAAGGACCTTGCAATTAATTTTAAGCGTCAATTTTAACAAACAAAGTCAAAGAGATTGGTGACCATCCTGCCTGCCGTGAATTTTAATGTAGTGATCAATTAATTGTTCATTATGGTCATTCTTATAAGGGAATATGTCGGGATAAGCCGTTTTATAGCACTCAGCACTCGATCGGCTCACTATTTAGAAATTTATTGCAAAAATTTATTACTCCAACTTGTTGGTTTATGAGTTTTAGAAGTAAAAATTCTAATTTTAGTCAGCAGTAATTAGAATTGAAGTCATTAAATTAGGTATATCCATAAATGAAATGAAATTAATGTATTTTTTTTTAATTTTCAATTTTAAAATTTGATTTTTTTATTTGATTACTCACAATTTCAATTTTCTTAATATCTATACATAAAAATTCAATAATAATAATTAAAAAAAAAACAATAATTTTCACAAAATATAATTATTTTTTAAAACTTTAACACAATTTTCAAATTTATTTTTATTTTACACAATTATTCTTTTTTATTTGTTTTAAAACAATATCTTAAATTAAATTGTCATCACCATTATAAAAAAAATGACCTTATCCAATTCAAATTCGATAATTTTAATTACTTAAAAAATTATTTTATTTTAATTTAAATAATTTTTTAAAATTACTTTTATAGTATACATTTTAAAATATTCTAATTCTCTTATAGAGACTAGATAATTTAAATTATTAAATTTTATTTTATATTACAATTTTTTTTTTTACAAATTTTAAGAATAAAATTATTTATGTACCTATATATTTAATTTAATGTATAGGATTTTTAAAATGATTATTAATTATTTTTACATTTAAAAAAAAAATTGCTTAACAAAGTTAATAATAGTATAATTGGAAGGCAAGTTTCTTTCAGAAAATTATATGATTGTTGTTTAAATATTTTCCATATTTTAAAATTCTAGAATCTAGGGGAATGGAAGAACTATTGATTGCAGTTGTTTTTTGTTTTTCTTAAATTTAATAATAAAAATATTTTTAAAATAACAAATATGTATTCTTTAAAATTAATATTTATTTTTATTTTTTTATAAATTCTTCAAGTTTTATTCAAAGAATTTTAAATATTTTTAATAGTTTTAGGGTAATTTCGCGTAGGATACTTTAATTGCAGAGATATATCGCAATACTGCAAAATCTAGTTATCTAATCAGTTAATATTTTAACATGCACAAAAATCTGCAGGATTTCAAAATTAATGTAGTTTTTCATGCGCATAAAATGTGTAGATAATGAGTATTTGGAGCATATAGAAAAATTTATACATGCATAATTTTTACATTGCTACATGTGTTGTGGTTGTAATTTAAATACCTATATATATAAAAATAACAAAAATTAATACAGAATTTTTTATTAGATAATTGAAAGGACTATGAATATAAACAAAATTAATGGCAGCAAATGTCACATCAAGAGCTGCCAAGTTATGTATTCACCTCAAGAACTTTATATGCAATGTCAATAAATGCATATTACAATGTTATATCTAGATTGTACTCAAACGTAGTAGTGTTGCAGTAGTATATATCTGCAAGATTGAAATCAGGGATATGTTCAGTTTACATACAATTACCGAATTTATTTAAGAATTAAATTTTCAGATTTATTGAAGAAATATTTTTACGATTTTACTTTGTACATGTTAAATAACTAGGAAAATTTAATGAATACCATGACATGTTACAATGTTATAACTAATGTTATAAAGAAAAAGTAAATTAATTTTTAATAGCCTTAATTTTTAACAGCGGTAGTTGCAATTTTAAAAAACATGTAGTTCAATATAAAAATCCTTTGAATAAAATTTAAGAATATCAATTTTAACATAATAACTCTTAAATAAACTTATTTTTTTATGAAATTTTTGACAAATTTTATAAATTTGTTAAAAAAACAATCTTATATTAGTAAATCACAGTTAAATATTTTAGTTTTATAATGTTTTCATTTAATTTTTTTTCCTACTTAATTTATTTATTAGCAACTACTTATTTGCAAATTATAGTAGAATTTATATATGCGGTAATTATACAATTATAATGTATAGCTATTATAATTTTAATTTACAAATATAATTAAATTTTACACAAGTTTCATATATTTACAAATTTTTGAATTTATTTAAAAATATTCAATCTTATATTTTTACCGGAATACGTCTATAATATTCTGAAAACTGCATAATTGAAACAAGTATTTTTATAAATGCATTTGAATAAAAATTTCAAGTCACATGCATTTAAATAAGGTCTTATACTATAGAATATTTTGTAAATGCTTCAATTTTTGAGTCTACATAAAAATCCGTAAAATATTAACACATTCTTTTCTTCGCATCACCTGAAGCGATGTGATATTAAAAAGTATTTTGTTTTACAGTAAACACTTAAATTTTAGAATTGTTTTTATTCAACCCATTGTATCGAGTGGTGCGACTAACAGAATATGGATTATTATGTTTAAAAGCATTACAATGGCATTTAGAATGGCGAGTTAATTAAAATGGCTAAAAAATTCCTTAAATAATTTAAAATTTCGTGGTTATTTGCTTTCAAATAGTATAGAAAATGTCAAAATATAATATACTTTGAAAATGGTTTCTAAAATGTGATAAAATTGAATAATTTATCATTTTGATGCATTTTAACATATTAAAAAAAATCTGTTTTTGTAATGTAGTGTGGTATATGTTTAAAATATCAATTTAGTAAAATCTTACTATTACCGTTATTCTTTCTTACTTTTACCGTTAATATAATGGAAGTCGTATATCTATAAACATTAATTTGACATCAGAATTTGTCTGACGGAAAATAATAGAAATTAGTCTATTCTCATCAGATATTCTATCAGAATTTTTAAAAATAAAATGACGATAATGAATATTTTGTGATAGTTTGGAGTAGCGATCAGCTAACTTTTGTTATGGTAATAATTTGCGTAGCAAAGTTTTTAAATTTTGATGTAAAGTCTGAGCGCCATCAAATAATTTCACGTCTGATAAATAAACAGTCATCAGACTTTATCTACGATTTAATCTTAGATTTTATCGTAAATGTAAACATTACTCTAATAATATTCTGTCATTAAAATGTGAGTGTATATTGCAAAATATAACTTAATTAAAAAATGTGATTTAAATTTAAAATATTTATAAAAGCGAAAGAGACCCTTAAAAATTAATAATATGCTTAATCTAAAAATATCATTTTACTGTGAAATTACTAATTAAAATTTAATTATTTAATTAAAATCAATTTTTTTTTTCTAGAGAGGTGCTCCATTATAATTTAACATATAATTATATTAAAATAATTATTTTAATATAAAATTTTTTACATTTTTATCATAACAAAAAAATACAATTTATTTTTTATAATAATTATTCTGTGCTTTTTAATAATAATAACAGCCAAGACTCAAAAAAAATTAATAATTAAAGTTTAAGAGTTCAAATTTTTTTAAAAATTATCTCTCATCTTTTTATAGTCATTTTTATTGCGCAAAATTTTATTATAAATTTATCACCTTGGACAAAAACTAAAATATGGAAATAAATGACAATGTAATGAATAAAAACGTTTCGGATCGGTTTTTTGATCGAAACCATCAATTTTAACAACATTCCATTCATTTTTCATTCGAGCATAACTGAATGATACCTGATCGTGAAATGTTTCCGGTCGAATAAATTCCATTGGTTCTAAATGTGAATGAAAATTATCAACAACTGTTAATGGTACTTTTAATAGATGTTCTGTGAATTAAAAAGAAGAAAGAGAAAGAAACAAATTTAGAAAATCATACAGAATTTTCAATTTACAATAGAAAAATTCGGAATTTTTTAAATATTCAAGATTCTTGCTATACTCACCAATTATAAAGCCCATCGTTACATCATCTGGAAAACGTATTTTATCACCAATACTAATGAATTTTCCTCCACCAGCTATTGGTAGCATTTTTAATGTTAGAGCACGACTTAAACAGAAACCAGCGCCACCAGTTGCAAACCAAAATGTAATTTTCTTATTTGTTGGAATGGATGAATTTTTCTATAAGAAAAAGAGAAAAAAATATTTAAAAATAAAATATCAAAAATATTTAATTAATTTTAATAACCATAACTAAACTAAATTGAATAAGAAAATCAAAAAGTTAACCACAATCTTTTTTAACAGTTTTTTTTTTAAATGAAATTCTGTTTGTGTTTTTCTCTTTTGTTTTTCTTGGTTTCTCGGGAAGTGTTTGAAAAAATTGCTTTCTTTTTTTAAACCACAAAACACTTATACGAAAGTTTATTATCTTTATTGAATTTTGTTTTATATCCCAGATAGATTTTAAAAAATTTGTTTTGAAGATTAAAAAAATATAAAATGTGGAACAACTAACGAAAATACTGACATTCAAAAATTTTAAAAATTGGGGTTCAATGTACATAATTTTTGATTTTGTTAAATAAAAGTAAGAGAAATGAATCGAGCTACTTCATTCAGTATTGTAAAAATATTTTGGATATATTGTTTTAAATTTTTTACATCTAAAACTCTCATTTAGTGTCAAAACAGATCCCAAGGTGGAGAACAACAGCGGAACGGCTAATTCAATTGAGGGCTGGCAGTAAAATACGAATTTAGGCTATTAACTTGCCCGCGGTTAAATCGTGGCGCTAATTCGGATTGATTCTGTTTTTCTTGTTCTGTTTTAACAGACTATACGCAATTTTGAATGCCACTATTTTGAATATCAAAGATGAAAATTTATAAAACATGTTTAACAATAATTGATAATTTTGGCATTTTCTAAATGTGGCTTATCTTGTAATTCTAATTTCTAACTTTGAACAACTTTGTAATTACAACTATTTTATGTAGCTTATAAACATTTTTTTTGTCTTAAATGTCTCCTTTTAAGACAAAACCTTGTGCAAAATAAATTTTTTTCCTTAAATTTCTTTTTATTAATTATTTTACATTTAAATTCATTGAAAAATTAATTCAAAAATTTATTTTTCTACCAGGGTCTAAAAATACGAGTAATTGTCCAAAATATTCAATGTCTATAATGGAATTTTAAAATTTGAGTTAAAAAATCGATCGAAAACGTTATCGGCAAATGTTATATGATACTTTTTTTTTTACTGTTTTTATATTTTGATTTTATTTTGAATATTCAAAATCGATTTGCATAAAATTTCAATCAATTTGCGCTCACCACAAGAAAAACTAAAAAAAAAATGAACGCGTTTATATTAATTTCTTAAAGCTATTCGAAGAACAAAAACCCAATCAGACTTAAAACTTTACAGAATATGCAGAGACAAAATAACTTTAAAACTAAACCGCTTTTAAATTTTTTTCTTATGTTTTGTGTATATGGTCGCACAAAGTTCATTTTTATATATGAGAGATGAGTTTGAAAGGGTGAATCAAGTCCCTATCTCTTTTACTCGTTTACGCTCGTTTTCTTGATGGTTTAACTTAATGTTATTTTTTAGTTTCTTTGCTTTTTCTCCTTTGCTTAAATCGAATCGATTCAGTTGATTGAGTTTACAATTAATGTTTAAAAATATGAAAATTGGCAGGTCACTTTAAAAGGAGTTCAAAATAAATAATACAAGAATTGGTTTGGAGTACACTTATACTATTGCAAATTCATAATGTTTTAGCCAAAAGTAAGAATCACTTTTTAATTGTATATAAAGTGATTTTTTGGAAAAGCCGGGTATATACATAAGGAAGAAGAGAAATTTTTTAAATGGGGAATACTTAAAAAGAGGAAAAAGGATTTAAAGACTTTGATTTATTGGTAAAGAATAATTTTTTTTGTCTTTTGTTTCTTATGCGCATAAAAACAAAAGAAAAATTATTGCTTTCTGTCAATTTCTTCTTGTTTTTTTTTTGTTATATTTTCGGATATAATAATGGTAGTAGCATGTAAAATGCCATGCCAATAGCCACAAGTCAAATTGAGCATAAAATAAAGCAAAAAAAAAAATAAGAAAATCGGTTTAGAATTTCACTCAAAATTAAAAATACGAAAATTAAAACAATAACAAAAATGAATTGAGAAAATAAAAATCGATAACTGTTGATGTCAATTCGATTTTATCTTTTCGAACAAAAAATTTAAAGGAAGAAATTTCATCTTTTTTTTTTGCAGTTGATTTAAATTTAACTTTAAATATTTTACGGTAAAAGGGATTTTATGAATTCTTTACTCAATTTCGAAAATTTGCAAATATGGAATTATGTAACAAATTTTATATTGATGCTTATTCTAAGTATCACTAAATAATCACTAATTGAAATCACAAATCAACTGATACAAATGATTCGTGTCTATAATAAAATTTTTGAAACCTTTACGATAAATGCCAATATCACTTAGTGACTCGAAACTACAATAAGTCCGATTGTTATTTGTGATTTAACGAAGCTGATATTGCGGTCTGTTTAATATTTTTAACATAAAAATATTCAGTGAATCATTGACAAACTATCAATTTCTAACTGACATTTGTTATAGTTAAAATAGAATATAGTTATTGTTAAAATAGAATAGCAGAGCCCATTTTTAAAATTTAATTGTTCTCTTCTCAAAAAAAATGTTCTCGTCCCTTCTCATTTACCGTAACAATATTTTTGTGTAAATAAACTGTAATATTAATGAATTATTTATGACGTGAAGTGTAATTTTTATGATTGGTATTATTTAACTTACAAAATTATTTATTTTAACATTTTTTTACTGCAATAAATATATGATTTTGTCAAAAATTCCATAAATTTCAGTTCTTATATAATTTACATAAATGTTACTTTTTAGTTTTTAAAATTTTTAAATTTTTTAAAAACTGCACACGAGTTTTATTGTGCTTTTAGTTAGGAAATTAGCTCTTCTATTGTTTAAAATTTAAAGATTTTGACAGAAATTACATAAAACAATGTTAAATTTTATTTGGCTATTTTATTTATTTCTGATTGCTGAAATCCCACGCAATTGCACACCCTGCTGTAAAAAACCCTTTTTTCGGTAATTTAAATTCAATAGTTTTGGTAGAAATCAAATATATCCTATTGTGGTATTAATCAATTTATTGATTCTAAATTTAATAAATCAAAAAGGGAACAAATTTAAAATTACTAAAATATATAAATAATGACGTATATTATATAGGAATTAAAATTTTATATTATCATGTGTTGCCTTCTACTTCGATAAAAAAATATCAGTTGTCATAAATTTTTGGAGTTTATATATTATGGTAAAACAATACTTTTATTTTAAATTTTAGATAATTATCAAAATTGTACAGTGTATAAAATAAAATATGTAAATTATATATACATAAGTATAATAATATATGCATAAGTGTATATAATATACGTAAATCTGAGCCCTTCCAATATAATGAAGACTTTTTAGAGAAAACATTTAAGGCAAAATATGGCTCATATATTCACGCATACGTACATAAGTGAAAATTTTGTAATTTGATCCGATTTTTAACATAATGATAATTTAAATCATGATTTATGTAACAACAATTGCATATAATTTAAAATAATATATATGCATAATGTATAACTGCTTAAAAAGCACACACACAACACAGTCATACACAAATAAATTAGAAGACATAAATAATGTATTTGAGTAATTTAAAAATTTCGTTAAATAAAATATTATATAGCTATAGCTATATATAAATGTGATTCAAATAAGCTTTCATTAAAATTCACACCCTTAAAATTTGTAATTAAAAACAGATGATGTCGATCTTGGAATATGTTTAAGAAACAAAAATATATAAAATAGAATTGAATTCTTTATACATATTTATAAGCATGGAACAATAATAAACGTGATGAATATGGGACCATAATTTTAAAATTAATTTTGGAAATCAAAACTTAATTCTATTATTTTGTATAAGTGAATATTTTGTATACAGTGAGTGTTAAAAATATTAAAGTACTTTACAATTTCGAACTATAGATAATTCTTAAAAAAAAATTTCATTATGATTTTTCTTTGATAATGACAGATTCAGTAAATATGGGATAAATAGTCAAAAATTGCAGTTGGCATATTTGCGTAGTGTATACGACAATAACAAGGGGGAACAAATAAAGGCAGCAGAACGCAGGATTTTCAAGGCAAGGTATGCTTTAATAGTTTAAGGGCAACCTGGAAGTCAACCTACATAGCACGAGGAACCAAAATAATATTTTATATAAGATATTTAATAATATGAAGAATATTCTGGCCACGACAAATTAATAACCAAGAGCTGTGGACCAAATTTTATCGATGCCTGTAAATATTTATAGAATTTATAACAACATATTTTTTTTTAAATTATATAGAACTAACATATATATGCACATAGACAAGCACACATTTATATACGAATAAATTAATGATAATTGAAGTTGTTATAAAATAAGGGAATAAAGAAATATGTACGTGTGGCACCTCCTTTTTTAAATATTAAACTTAATTCATTTGATTGCTCAAACACCTAACTATTTTTATTCGTATATAGTATAATCAATGAAAAGAGAAAATAAAAATCTTTGTAGCAATAATTTAGGTTCAATTTGTTGTATAAACATATTGTATTTACCGAGAAAGGTATTTATTGAGAGAAAATTAAAAAAAAAATTTCTTGAAACCCGCTTACAATTCCCTGATTTAATTAAACAAGAAGAGAAAATATTTATTGTGTCTGTACCAAAAAAGAATTTTTTATTAAATAAATCTCATTATTAAAATGTGTGATGCTTTAATCAACGGTATACGCATTTCTATATATACGCAACGCACCTTTATTTATTATGTCACCCTCTCTCACTCTCTATGCGTATATTTTCTATATAATAGATATAAACAAACAAACATTAATATTAATTCAATTATAGATTTTGGCTGTCAAATAATTAATGATTTCTAATTTATCATTTTGTTATTAAAATTATTTTTGTTTTGTATTTTGCCCTATAGTAATGTAGACTGGGTCTAGCTAGGTAGTGTGATGGCGATGATGACTTGAGATAATAGAAGAAATTTTTTATTTTATCTTCTATATTTATTTTACTTAAATCTACCAAAATTCTTGAAATTTGTTTTACTTATAGATTTTTTTGTTTTGTATTCTTTAATATTATTAAAGCGTAAAACTAATGATTTCCTCATTAAAAAGTTACTTAGAGATTTTTTAGATCCAAAATTTATTATTTTTTTTGGAATTGAAAATGAAATAAGAAGTCAAGTAATGGAAGTGAAGATTGGAAATAGCAACGAGATTGACAAGAGTAACTTACATTTCTTTTGTGGAAACTCGTAATTTTGATTTTTATTTTGTTTTTTGATTTTAAATTTTTTAACGATAACTTCAGTTTTAGTGCAGCTGAAAATTTCTTAATTCAAAAAATGCGTTTACATTTCAGGAGTATGCCGAGTATTCTTCTAATGAATACCTTTAACTAATGCAGACAGAGCTCAAGAAATGTGTTTTACAGAAGAAGAAATTGCAAATTATTTAAAAAAATTGATTGTGAAAAGACAGCAACTCATTGGAAAAATTAGAAGTTTTTAGCAGTTATTCGCATTAGTTGTGTAATTATATTCGATGTGTTACAAAAATGCACCTAAAAAATGTTCATACAAATATCGTATGATAGACAATTTTAAAAATTATATTATTAGCATTTAAAATGGGATGCACCTTACTGAAAAAGATTATTATGTATTAAAATACGACAAATTTCGAATCCTGCACTTGTACATTAATCAAAACCTACGTATTATTAGAATTAAATGTTTAAAATTATTATTTATTTTACGAAGGTATCGAATTTATTACACTTACACTATCCAAATGAATTTCTAATGGTGATGATATTGATGGTTTTCCTAAATACCAATCAACAGCTGGATTATATTCATCTAGTAAACGTACTAAACGTGGTATATTCACATAATTATCATCATCAAAATGGCAGAACCATCTGTAAAAATAATAAAAACGTAAAGGTATAAAAAAAATTTATAAAATTTGAAAAATATGTCAAAAAATTTTAAAGCAATGAAAAATATTCTTAAAATTTTATAATTTAACTTATTATAGTAATTGAAATTTTAGTTTTAAAATTAGCAGTAATTAAAGAAATATTAGCTGTAAGATTTAGATTCAAAATTTAAACAAAAATGTTAATTAAATTATTATTTTTTAGGGAAATTTAAGAATGGAAAATTTAAACGACATCAAATATCCTTCAACACTAAATGATCTTTTAGTATTATCTTTAAATGATAAAAAAAATTTTAGTGCTGGTCATCGTTCTCTATTAGAAAATTTTCTACGTATTTTAATGACAATACTTGAAATTAAACCGGAATGTATTAATATTGAAACAATCAATGATTTGACAGTAATAAACCAGTCATTAAAAAGTGATAAATCCGATTCCATTAATTATGAAATTTTTAAAGGAGTACAATTTTTTAGGAGTCCTGAAGATTTCACGGAACGTAAATCGTATGTAAGCCAACGTAATAGTCAAATTATAAATCAAAATATTATACAACAAAAAATTGATTATATTGAATGTGAATTAACAGAATTGGAACAAAAGGTTGACAATTTTATATTAGAATATTATCGAAGACTACCAGCATGTTACGACAACAATAACAACATTAATAATATTAATTGGTCTGATAATAGAATCGAAGTAAAACAAACTTTGGGCTTGAATAAATCGAAGAAAAGAGAAAGTCTTGGAACAAAAAGTAATATTACAATTAACGAGTCTAAAAATATTTATTATAATAATTTTGAAATGAAAAAAGCAGTACAAGATTCATCTAATTTTTTAAACAATCAAAATTTTTGTGATATACAAAAATTATTTGTACCAAAAACTTATAAAAATAACCATTGTAATCCTGTTAATAACATTGCATGCCAATTAATAACTGATAAAGATTTTTTAACTGAAATTATGAAACGAATATCATGTCCGATTATTGAGAAAATATGTAATTTTGAAAAAGGAATTTTTGAATTAAATGAATGTTTTTTAAAATTTATACAAAAAAATGATGAAGAAATTAAAAAAATACCAACAATTGAAGAATGTATAAATGAAATTAATAATTTAAAAACACAAATGGCCAAAAAAGATGATGAATTGCTAAAAACATTTGAAGAAATACAAGAAATTTTAGATACAAAATTTGATAAATATCACGTACCGGCAATGAAAAAATTCTTATTAGATACAATTGAAAAATTAACAAAAATTGTTAATGAATTAAAATTAAAAATAGAATGTCCAAAAGCTGAATTTTGTACAATATCAAAAAATTTAAAATGTTTATCATGTGGTCAATCAGAAAATCTTTGTCAATTAGTAAATGTTTCAAAAATACCAAAATTTTCAAATTTTAATATAAAATTATCTAAAGTATATCCTTTAAATTCTTCATTAAAATCACGTTATTCGGGTGGTAAATGGACAATTCAATATCCAGAAGAAAGAGTTTTTAGAAATTTTAATTTAAATAATGAATTTGGTTTGCAAACTGATCAAAATTATTTAAAAATAAATTTTATAAAAGGTACAAATGGTAAAATTTATAGAGCTGAATCAAATAATCAACATGTATTATCGAACGGTGTTACAGTAAAAGAAAAGAATGGTAATGAATGTTGCACAAAAGAAACAGAATGTTAATTGAAATTTACTAGTTTAAAATCAAATTTTGATAAAGACAAACTTTGCGTAATTGATCTTAAATCTCAGAATTCCGATAAAATCTTATAACGAGAAAATTGTTTTGTTACTTATTTGAAATTATTAATGTTAATATAAATTTACCCTTAATTTGAATGAATGAATTAATTTATATAATACACTATTAACTATTTTAAAGGTGTGACTAATAATTTCTTATCCTTTATTTTTTGATTAATTGAAAATGCACGCAATATTGTTGACAAAATTTAACGAAACACTCATTTATAAAATATGAAACCAAAAAAAATCAATTCAAACTATTTAAGGTTCCTAAAGAAGCAGATTTCATTTGGTATAACTTGAGTTTAAAAACTAACTAAATTACAACTTTAATATCAAAATGAAGTTTTATTAATATTATTTTTGTTATTCCACACATTTAAGGCAGGTATTACAAAAAGATCGAATTAAATAAAAACAACATTTTACTAGCAAAGAAAGGCGAAATTTAATTGCGTGACAAAACTTAAAGAAGAGAGGAGGAGTTAGGGGATAATTTTGTTTTCTGGAATAAATTATTATGCTCGTGAAATCTCAGTATTGGATCACTAATTTTTGAAAACGGAATGGAAGAACCAAGTGCGACTAGTAAGCACATTTGTTTAAAAAATTCAAAAATATTGTAAATCATTTTATACCAGAATAATCCGTAAAAGGGAAGTGTTACGATTCAAAAAAGCAACATACTTTTTATGGTCTATATACATATGTGATTTTATTGACTGGAAAATTTTTAATTTTAAAACAAATAAAATTGTTTAGTCGCAAAGGTATAAATATTGCAATTTTTCATAAAAAAAAACTTGGGAGTGGTAAGTAGATTTTTTTGTTTCTTATTTAGAAAAATCTTAATTATTATGTTTTATGTCAAAAATTTACTCTAATTTTTTTTAAGGTGAAATTTTATCAAGATATTTGAATTATGTTGTTGAATTTTTCGACATTTTAGGTTCAAAAATAAATGCATACATGTGCTTTTCAAATTAAGCTGTGAAATTTGCTATTTAAGGTGTTCAATATTATGTTCATTTATAGATATTTTTTTTGGATATTGCTTAGATATACGATTAAGATTTGTCAAAACTGCAATTATTCTTTAATCTGATGTAATGGAGTTGAAATAAAATAAGGTAAATTTAAAGGTATTATAATTAGAAGATAGCCATTAACAAATTATTTCTCAGAATGCTCTCCAAATTTAGCTCTTATATACAAACACATTTTTCATAAATTATTTTAAGTTATTTATAAGTCATTAATTAATTACACGCGCTCGAGGCAGACTGTTACTCCGGTTATCAAAACAATCTAGTTATTTAATCATTTAAAAATTTATTTTATATAGAATTATAATTTTAAAACTGAAAAACTCTTATTTCAACAATATTCATCTTAAAATTAATTATCTTGACCTCATGTTTAGCTTCCTTTTTTTATATTAATCTGCGTTTTGTAAAAAAAAATCTTGCATATAATCCAAATTAAATGCAACTTCTGAAATGCTTATAGATTTTTCTTCAATTCTATATGCAGATGTGTATAATTATTAAAGAAATACAAATATTATTAATGCATTAAGCTACTTAAAACAATATATAGAAAGCTTATTTTCAAGTATAGATTATGTAAGTCGTGTACGATCAAACCAACGTTCTCGTTACTTCTTATATTTTCTAAATTTAAGAGAGAATAACCAATAGAAGTCAAATTCTAGTTTAGTGGTTACTTATAACATATGCACCTATGCTTGTAATATATTAAATTTAAATCTTTAAATAGTCACGAGTTTTAATCAGATTTTCCACATATAGTGCACATATGAAGAGACAAAAATCGAGTTATTATAGAGGCTAAATAACTCGGAAAAAAAAAGCAAAAAATAATAATAAAAAATTATTCGCGACCAGCCAACAACGAATTTTAGTTAACCATATTCAAAAAAAACCATAAAACAAAAACTCTGCGGGTATGCTAGAAAAAAAAATTAAAAAATATTAACAAATTTCTTAAAACTTCAGTACCAAGTAATTTTGTATCTCTGTTTAAAAAAAAAAAAAAATTAAAGCAAACAAGACTTTTATGTGGATTTAATTGAATTGCATATCTGAATAATACTGAACTGAACAGAGAGCCCAGAAATCCAAAAATGAATAAATTCCTCATTTTAATATTATGAAAATAAGGAAAACAACAATAATAAAAAAAATATAACAGATGTTGAGTAGAAATCCATTCATTTTCTTTAAAATTCTTTTACTTCAAAATAATCGAGCTCTCGTTCGTTTGAAAAATGAATTTTATAATAGTCACTTTAGTGTACAGGGTGTGCGATACAAAAGATTTTTAGCTTCGTTATGGTAAAAAATTGAAGAAAGTATGGCAGATTAGTTGAGTGGTTGATGTTGTAAGTTAGCTCAGAATGAACGAAGTTGTTATAAGTATAAAAATGTATGTCAACTGACTCAGTCCGCTTATTAAGTAATTTGTTTACGTTCCTGATTTCTACATCCCAGATTTTTCATTTAACACTGTGACATCCATACAAATTAATGCCAATCTGGACGACCAAATGTAACCAATTCTCGTCTTCTAGGTCTTAAAGCAGATATAAATTTTTTGGAGTAAGAAACGCGCGGCCAATTATTCCAATTATCGACTATGGAATACGAATCCATCTGTACATACATTAATCGACCACTTATATATTATAATACCGTATGACAGTTTTATGTATATTTTATGCGTTTTTTTTGTTATATTTTTTAATATTTTTTATTTTAAGAGGTTTTAGTTTCAATTCTGTTTTTGATAGAAAACATATGCACGTGGCCTGTAACATTAGTGTACGAGTATATTAGTATAACATGATATACGAAGTTACAAGTTTTTGTTATAAGATCAATTTTTCCAAATTAAAGCACAACAGTGCGACTTGGATTCAAACAAACATTTATTATTGTTATTATATGGCATGGTTAATTTTATACATTATTTCCTACATCTATTTATGAATATAAAAAGTTTAGCTTGAAATTTTCTATTAAGTGTTTTAATAAATGTGATGTTGATTACTATATGGATTTAAAAGAAAAGAATGAATAAAAACACTTAACATATAAGACGGTTCAACTTTACATTTAGAAAAAATACAAGAAGACAACGAAAAAAAAAAAAATTAATATTAGAAATGACAAATTGAATATTGA